CAAAATCAGCAGAGCCTAATTGAATTCCAAATCAACCAGTATATTGCTGGATTACCACCAGCACAGGGACAACCGGCACCTGTATATATACGGGTTACGCAGGTAAAACCGACCAATGAGCGTTCGTGGTTTACCTGCGGTTTAAGCTGTTTAATGGTAAATCTCATTGGACGATTTTACCTGCGTAACCCGTATATATATAGGTGCCGGTTTAATGATCGGTCAGTTCGATTCTAACATCGGTCTTGTAAGAAGTCAAAAGCAACCATGCCACTTGAATTTGTTTTAAGCCAAAAGGGCAACCAACAGTTGATCAATAAAGGTTTTGTGTATACCACGGACAAAATCAAAGAAGACAAACACATACCCATAACTGTGTTATCGAGACACAGCATTGCGAATTAAAGAAATCGTTGAAGACTATGGGAATCGCGACACCTCCGATTATTTGCAGGGAATTGCTCATAATTTTCAATTCCAATCTTGCTAAATGGCCAAGTTTAGGGGGCACTCGTCGTTTTAAAAAATTTCATTTTTAGGGCATAAAAAGGCTCTTTTCAGAGCCAAAACATATTTATTATTAAAAAAAACTAGGCAACAACGAGTTACGTATTTTATTTTTAATTATTTAATAACATAATTAATTTTCCAAAATTTTCAGATTCATATTAGTTAATTTTTATTCTTATATTAGTCCCATAGAAACGCATTCGTTTTGTAAAAAAACATACCATCGGCGTATTTACTATCGGCGTAGATACCGTCGGCGTAAAGACATGGAACCCGCTACGCGGGGTCGGCTTGTGACCATTCTCATTTCACGTATGCCACGCCACCCCGAAAACCGTGTTCAAGGCCACAATCGCCCGATCAGAAAATTCACTTAGTTTCGTACCCCTGGCCCGACCATGGTCGGTAATATAAGAAACGACCGACAATAGTCGTGTGGCGCGCAGCGAACTTTTGTTATTGTAGCGGACCAACTTAAATAATTATTATAGAATGAAGTTGACGATTGATATAGATGAAAAATGTTTATTATCGAGGAAAGGAAAAATGTGGTTACACTTTATCAAAGACAATGGCGGTGCCGGTCTCAACACGTAGTAATTAATTCTTTTGAATATATTTTTACCGTAGCTCGGGAGCACGAATGGTATTAGGATCTTAATATTACAAATAAATAACGATTGATCTAAATTATTATTAATACAAACAAATTATTTATTATAACTTACAATTTAAGAACAAAGTTACCAAAAATGTAGGATTGTACGGAGTTCAGGTGCACGTGATGGACTCGCGGAGAACTGCCATTCTCTTACATAGGGATATTGGCCGGAGCCTTACAATCATAAAATATATATGTGTCACCTAAACCGGAGGGGCTTAATATATTATTATAGTCAGCGCATAATATGCCTAATGTGCATATTATGATGCTTATAAAATAAACGTAATGATGTAACATACGTTACACTCGTTACAGTATCTAAACTTAACTAAAAACCAATGGGTAATTCAAATTTGAATGTAAATATATTTTTTTAAATAATTTATTCAAACATTCATAAATAATCATGTAAATTTGCAAGATTAAAATAAATTTGTATAAAACACTTATATTTGATAAAAAAAAATTGTGTTATTAGTTAAAAATATTCATTTCATTTCATAGAATATAATGAAAAAAAAAAAATTGAATAACTTATGAGTAGGGCTAGGGACTTCATTCCCTAAAAAACCTTAAAATATGTATGCATTTATGCCTTTAAAAATTACCAAATATGCTATTAAATACCTTGAGCATTACATTGAACTATGAGATATTTTTTCAAGTTGGAAAATTCGAATGACCTCCTGTTATCTGCCAAAATATTTTTATACTTTGAAAAGGTTCCACGAAGGTTCCACGTCAACCGAACTTATTGGTGCAAACTTAAAAAACGGAATATCACCACTACTAATATCTGTTGGCAATCCGTCCATATATTCATTTTGTCCATTTAAAATGTCTGTTTTTTTTTTTGTAGTTGCACAAATCCAACATTTTTTCCATAACTTTTTGGAATTTTTCATCAATTGCCTTAGCTTGAGCACATCCACCAACTTTTGCAGAATGTACAGATTCTTTTGTAGTTTTAATTATTTTAATGGATTCAGTTAGTGACATGCTTTTGGTTTCAAGTCGAGTGATAGATGTAGAAATAAATCCATAATTTGACATAATAAAAGCTAAATTTGCTTCCAAATTATTTGATTTTAAAATTTGCTTACATTTTTTAATGGATTCTGCATCGTTTTCATCAATCATATCAATAAATTGTTTAATTATTTCAAAATGTTTGCAATAATACAAAGCAGCATCAATCCATGTACCCCACCTGGTTAAAATTGGTCGCGGAGGTAATGGAATATCAGATGCAACAGATTTTAATGTTTGAATACGTGACGGTGCCTTAAGAAAAGTTTTTTTCACATTGGATACGAGTTGATCGACGTTTTTATACTGGTTTCTTATTTCTTCAGCAACACGATGAAGCCCGTGTGCCAAGCAGGTTACATGAATTATTTTATTCTACAAATTTTGAATCGCTTTGCCGGCTTTCATCATGTAAGGCATCGCTTACAAATAAAAGCACTTCATTGTATTTCACACCTTGTGGCCAGAGCAAGTTCAATGATTGGTTAAAAAGCTTAAAAATGGTCGAATGGTTTGATTTTTCTAACTTTTCCGAATTCAACAAAAAAATACTACCTGGATCATGTACTGTAAGAGTTCCAATTATAACATTGGCAATAAAGCGTCCTTCTGCGTCAGTGGTTTCGTCTATCAAGACCCAAATTTTTTTTCCGTCAACACATTTTTTAATTTTTCAATTGTTTCTAAAAATAAATCGTCGACTCAACCTTTACGGAGAGTGGCTTCTTTCGGTATTTCTTTTTTAGTGTATAGCTCCAAAAATTCTCGAAAATGTTTATTTTCCAGTTTATACAAAGGTATATTGGCGGATAACATCGCTTTACATAAGTCTTTATTAAAATCGTTTTTCTTGGAGAAAGACATGGATACAAGTAGCTGAGTTTTATTTGGTTTCAATTGTAGTCGATTTAAACCCTGGATGTGTTTTGCTGTTTTAATATGTTGAATAACAGTAAATCTTTTCTCGGCACTAACTTTAATGTCACATATTTTACAAAATAAAACAGATTTAGCTGCCAAAAATATTGGTTCACCGAATTCTTTTACAAAATTGTTTAGCCGATCATAAGGTTTAGGCTTTGGTCTAGGCATTTTAATTATTTTATTGAGAATTCAAGCAATAGTACAAGTTTGACAAGTCAATTTAGTCAATTTTTGGGTCATTTTTGACCCGATAATACCAGTTACGTGAATACAAATAAGGATACCAGTTGAGGGTTAAAAAATTCAAAAACTAAAAATCGTATTTAAATTATAATTACACCATCGTATTCAGCGCAAATTTATTTTTAAGAATTAATTTCAAAAATAGTATTAATGTTCTATATTTACGTAATAAATGTACATATAAACAGTAAAAATAGGTAAACTGTTTCGTTTACATAATTATTATTATTATTATTTACTACAGTTTGGATACTTTCCTATTTTTTTTTTGTTTTTTCCTTACTAGTCATAGTATCTTTATAATTGGCTCTTTTTACAATAAAACACATGCGGATTACTAAAAGAAAACGGACAATATGGCTTTCGAAAATTCTTCCTTCTGATCAACACAACCGACCAATTGGATTGAATCACCTTGTCAATCATTGACGTAATAGTTAATAAGTTATCAATATTAAGTTCTTAATTTTTCAATGTTTCTAGTGTCGATTTTCTTAACTAGAAATTAAACTAAATAGATTATTAGATGAATGTATCAATAGGCCCTTTGATAGCATGTCTATAAGTTTGTCTCTAGATGAAGAGGAACAATTGTTTCTTAAGCTAGAAAGACAAATTTAAATTTTCAATATTTCCTCAATTTAGTGTAATCAATTGGTATCGTAAATACGAATCTACCACTAGAAAATAATATGCACCAGTTACCAGTATAATACATTTCTTTTCTTTATAAATAATTAAAATACTTAATTTCATAATACAATTTATAAAGTAAATACAGAATATTAAAATTATTTTTGTAATTTATTCTTAAAGATAAATTTGCGCTGAATACGTGGGTGTAATTATAATTTAGATATCATTTTTATTTTTTTAGTTATAATTTTTTAAAGGTAATAAAGTCGAGTATGTCCCTATGTAATATGGGTTAATTATACACCGAACCAGTCTCGGATTTGACCGCCACACAGACTGGTGGAGAAATTAGTGTGCGATGTTTTATAGAACCCATTTTTGTGCAGGCGGCCAGCAGTTTGGCCTCATTATCTCTAGTCTTCATGTATCGGACTATGGTCGGTAAGATAAGGAACGAACGACGGTAAACAAATCAAAAGCACCTTTATTCGAATTTAATGGGTATTTTGCATTTCCCTGTGTAATGCCTTCTATCTATACTTAATAATTGATCTCCTTTGAACCTGTTCAGTTATCTGTTTTTGCAGTGTGTTTTACACAGCTTCCTGTGTTATTTTTTCTATATATACTTAGTATACATATACCCAACATTTTAAGTTATCATTTTTTGCAGAGTGTTTTACTCAACAATTTTTAGGTTTTGATGTGTCTTTTTTCAAACTTCTGGTTTTACAGTGTTCTGCTTTGAAGTTTAATTTTATTACATTAACTATTGCATTTTAATTTATTAAAATTAATATGCTAGAAGTTGGCCAAACATTCAATTCTTATTTTGAATTCCAAAATAAATTGGAGGAGTATAAAAAAACTTTTTTTTGTGATTTTGCGATATCCGATTGTCGAACTTTAAATGCAGCTCTACCTAAATATCCAGAAAAATTAAAAAATACACCGGATTCAATAAAATATTATTTTATAAAATTCAAATTCGTTAATGGTTTATAAGAAGTGTTCGAACAATGAACTGCAATGTTCAACATCGTAAGTTTACGTATTAATTATTAAATTATTTTAAATATATAAGAATCATTATCTAGCACTATGATGCAAGATTGTCCAGCATTCATATATGTGAGAGTGGTCACTGATGGCTCTAATATAGAAATTTCATGTATGGATGAAAGGCATAACCATGCTATGCCTGAAATGTTATTTTCTAATTTACCCAATCAGCGTCGATTAGCTCCTCAAACTAAATCGGAAGTGATTAAGTTGATGGATATGAAGGCTAATAAAAAGTTGATTCAGGCTAACACATAGTAATAAAAAAATGTCTATAGGTTTTGGTTTTGATTTAACATTCATTATTTCATAGAAAAACAAAAGCAAAGAACAAACAATTTTAGACAATTGAAGAAGTACAAAATATGTACAAATGTACAATTGAATTGTTAGTCAATAATGATGGGACTCTATTGGGAATGTTCCTTCAAGACTCTAGAATGAGAACAGAATTTGAACACTTTCCCGAGGTAAAGAAAATTCTACAATTCTACATACGTTTTATACATCATTAATTTGTATACTTGTTGCATCTAGATGGTTTGTGCTGATGCTACTTATAAACTGATAGATTTAAAAATCCCATTATATGTCCTGCTAGTCGAAGACGGTAACGGCCAGAGTGAAATAGCCGCCCTTGGTCTATTAGTGAACGAAGAGAAGGAGACACTATCATGGTTCTTTAAGAAATTTAAAGAACATAATCCTGCAAGCGTGAACACAGGAGTGTTTATTACGGACAAAGACATGAAAGAACGGACTGTCCTAAAATCTCGTTCCCTGAATCACACATGGTAATATGTTTATTTCATACACTGCGGACATTTAACAGGGACATAATTTGTGACAAATTGGGAATCACAACCAATCAGCGAGCTATGTGTAAGCAGGTATTTGAGGAACTATGCTAGTGTAAAAATGAAATGGAGTATTCACAGGACACAGATATATACAGAGTTTATTAACTCTGAGTTAACTCCGCATCAAATTATAGCCTACTTCAATAAAAATTTGCACAACATCCGAGGACAATGGATAACTGTCCAATCGAAATTTATGAAGATAACCAGTCATGCATAGAAACAGTCTGTAGACCAAGACAACACCAAAGGATGAAACACCTGGATGTCAAATATTCCTTTCTACACGAGAATATTAACTCCATAAACATATCATCACTTACATTCCAACTGAAGAACAGGTCTCCGACATTTTCACCAAATCCTTACCACCATCAAAATTTGAATTTCTCAAGTCAAAATTAAAGCTAATCTAAAATAAAAAAACAACATGTATAGTTTTGCTTTATATAATCATTTTTGTCCTTACATGTTTGTCATCTATAAATTATAATTTGTTATGTTTACCAGAATTTATTGCATTAACTATTTATCCAACCTTCAATATTAATGTTATTTTTCTACTACACTTAGTGTTAGGATTAAGAAGGAGTGTTGAGATATCAATTCTACACTGCCAGCTATACATATATCAATTGTTATCTAAGTTATTATTATTAATACTATTATTCTGTTAAACCGGTATTAAATAAAAGTTAGTCTGTTACACACCGCCAATGAGGTAGTCACTTTATTTTCAACATTCTTTATTCGACCACAGCTTTATTTATTATAAGCTAATACTTTTACCTACTGTCCAGAATATTTTCTTCAGCTTTTTACTATCCACATCTTCAAGAACAGACATTATATTCCACTCGTGCACTTCTTACTACCAGACAAATGTAAAGACGCATATGCACTATCGTTCGGATATGTGGTTGAAAAATGTTCGGAAATTAATTTATTATTCACTCCATCGAAAATAGTTTCCGATTTTGAAGAAGCTATACATATTGATGCAAAAACAATATGGCTAGAAATACGGATGGTTGGTTGCAGATTTCATTTAACACACAATTGGTGGAAACACATTCAAAGTCTTGGTAAACATATAAATTCAAATACACATACAATACTATTATTGTCGTATTATGTATTATTAATATTAATTAATTTATAATTTTTATTTTTTAGGCTTACCGAAAGAATATAAAGACGCATCAAGTGAAATAGGTAATTGGCTAAAATGGGTATTTGGATTACCATTACTAAATCCAGAAGAAGTAAGCGATTGCTATTTGCTTTACGACAGATTTGATGTCAGTTTCTACAGATGATGAAAGGATAGTTAAGTTCTGCGATTATTTAGTTGAATATTATATTGATGAAGGTGCAAAATTCAATCCACGTATTTGGTCATCGAGAGACATAACATCGGAACGTACTACAAATACCTGTGAGTCTTTACACTCAAAATTAAATTCACAATTCACAAAAGCTCACCCAAATATTTTCATATTCACCCATGTATTAAATAAAAAAATACAAAATGACACTTACATACATATAAACTTGTTAAACATCGAGAAAAATAGCAAAAATAGTGCTTTTTACAAAAAAAAAAACAAAGTATTAAAAATTTATCAAATGATTTGAACGACAATAAAATGTCTAGGTTCACTTATTTAAAACATGTGTCCAAATATTATCAAAAGTAGTTTGATTTATAACTACATTTTTATTTTATACTTATATACTATTATTATAATTTTATTCAATTTACATAATACATTTTAAAATATCATAATATTAAACAGAAAAAAATGATTTACATTTATTCATTTTTATTTTATACTTATATCTATACTACAGTGGAACCTCGATAAGTCGAAATTCAAGGGAAATGCAATTTTTTCGACTTATCAAGGTTTTCGACTTACTAAGGTTTTTGAGTTATCAAGGTTTTAGAAAAAAAATTCGACTTAAAGAGTTTTAAAAATGTATGTATGTATTAAAGTTTTTAATTATTATGTACTTAGTATATATTATGTATATACAATGTAAAAAAATGTGATTATACAGATTATTTAAATAAAAAAATTATTACAAAAAAATATAATACTTTATAAAAGATAATTTATTATTTTACTTTGACTTAAAATTTGAAATTTACTATTATCAATTATATTTTCTATTACATTTAAAGCAGAGTACACTTTATCGTCCACATTACTCAATTGTTCGGTGAATGTCCTTAGCAATATGAGGGCTGCTGTTGCTTGCTTCATTGAAACAATGAAGATTAGATAAAATTATCGGAACGGACAAACCGATTAGATAAATGTTTATAAAATTATCTGTCATTATCCGTCATATTCGGAGCACAGAATGTTCGAGTTATCTATAGTTTTTTTTTTCGAGTAATCGAGGTTTTCGCAAGGGGATGGAATTTTTTTCGACTTATCAAGGTTTTCGACTTATCGAGGTTCGACTTATCGAGGTTCCACTGTATTATCATTTTATTCAATTTAGACATGTGACCAAATATTATGATCAAAAATATTTACATTTATACATTTTTATTTTATACTGATATACTATTATTATCATTTTATTCAATTTAGACATGTGACCAATTACCAAATATTATGATCAGAAATATTTACATTTATGCATTTTTATTTTATACCTACATAGAATTTATTATATAACTGTATACAATTTAGGGCCAAATAACATTCATAAACCTATATGATATTAAAAAAATATATATTTTGGGGTCGCTTTAAAAAGGGGGGTCGCCACAGTAAAAAGGTTGAGAAACACTGGGCTAGACTACTAGCGCTTTATAGAATTGTTCCGTGTCACAGACTTCTATTGATATAACAAACTAATAATCGCTCTCTGGTGGACAAAAATATAACTATCCGATGTGGGACATAATACAAATAAACAGTCAGCCGCTCGGCGCTCACTGCTCAGTCAATATCTTAAGTCTTAAGTACTCTTTATTCTATTCTGTGACTTATACCAGAGGCGACTTGAACATGGCCCGGTCAAAATTTTGGTTGGGTGGTTGGGTGATCATCATTAATAATATTGAAATAGTTTAAAATAGCTATAGTGCCTAACTTTTTTATTTATTCTGAGATATTTTAATATTTTTTAATTTGTATTACGAGTTAATAATATTTATTAATTATTAATACATAATAATTTATAAGTACTAATAACTCAGTCAAACTGATTTTTATTTAGTAAAATGTCAAATTTGTGCAGTGGGTGCCGGGTGGTATATTTTAAGCCTACCAGGTTAAATAAAATTGTCAAACCGCCACATATGCACTGTCCTATCTAGTACCACAGTCCACAGAGTCAGACTATAGTCTATATGAAAAAATCATATAGTCTGTGCTAGTACCTGCTAGTCCAGTAGTTGTGTAGTGTGTACTTGTTGTATTTTGTATTACTGTTTTTTAAAAAAAAGTATAGATAAAAAAGCTGTTTCTCGCAACAGTAGAATCTATTGTGGTGTGTTTGGTTGTAAAACTTTTTACTGTACAAATGAAAATATAAGTTTTCATTTACTTCCCAAAGAAAATGATCCAAAGGTGCTTTGGATTAATAAAATGGGCAAAGAGGAATTAGTTGACAGCGGTGTATATGGGCAAAGAACCTAAGGTTTGGAAAATAATTTTTGAAAAAGACACAACTTCGTGTGTGTTCAACTCCACTTCACTGAAAACGACTTAATGCCTTCAGGTAATATTTTCCAACCAATACCATATGCTAATTAAGTTAATTTGGTTGTAATGGTTCTATTAAAAAATATGGTATAGGAGTAAATACTAAACGGAAACGACTTAAGCCTACTGCTATTCCGAGTCTACATTTGCCAAAGTCTACAGTTACACTAGAATCTCCTAAAAAAAGAAGCTCTTCGAAGAAAAGATATTTACCCACATCTACAAATTTAAATTATTCATGTGAAACTTCTACTTCTGTTGAAATACAAGAAAAAGTGAATTTGTTCTTTATTTAAAAATATTCAATTAGTAATTTTATTTAAATTTAAATTATAGCCACTTCAATCAACATGTTCAGAAAACATTTCTGATGTTGATGAAGGTGATACTGCTGAAACGATCAAACAATTGTATGATCAAATTGATTATAAAGGCACAACGACTAATGTATCCACACGTCACTAGTGGTGATTTAATGGTTCCATTTATTTCATTAATTAACTCATCTAAAAATGTATATACTTTGACTGGAATACCTTCATTTGAGTTATTAAATAAGATTGAAGAACTGTATCGCTTGCAGTTTCCAGATAAATGTTCTCATAATTTGAGTTATAAAGAACGAATTGTCATAGTATTTATGAAATTTAAGCAAGATTTACCTTTTGTAGTATTATCAATATTGTTCAAAAATATTTCACCAGAATCTTGTAGATTAATTTATACCACAATGATACCGTCACTAGCTATGATTTTAAATAGTGTCATATATTGGCCATCAAAACATTAAATTTTATCAAATATACCTTATTGTTTTGAAAAGTTTAGTAACACCAGAGTAATTATAGACTGTACAGAGATTTCAACCCAAAAACCCAAATGCTTAACATGCCGTATTAAAACCTATAGCAACTATAAATCAACGGTTACCTTAAAATTCTTAATAGGTATATCACCTGGTGGACTTATAACATATGTAAGTAAACTATATGGAGGTAGAGCTTCAGACAAAGCAATATTCGAGCAAAGTGGATTGATAGGAATGATGGAAAGATTTGATGGGATTATGGTGGATAAGGGATTTTTTTTTGAATTGATCTGACCTCCTTTTTTAAAAAACAAAACAACATTTTCTAAAGCTGAGGCACTTTTAAATAAAGACATAGCTAGTGCACGTGTACATATTGAGAGAGTGAACCAGCGTATTAAGTCATTTAAGATTTTTCAAAACCAATTTTCATGGTCTCATAATTATTTAGCATATTACATAATGATCATAATTTGTGGAATTTGTAATTTAAGCTCTCCAATTTTTGCAAATGATAAATTCAGTGTATAGTATTTTAACTAAAAAAGTCCAAAATGTAAGTATATTTGTTTTCAATTTGTAATTCACAAATTGTATGTAATAATTTTTCAAAAAAACAATGTTTAAAACTTGTAATAATGTTTTACAATAATTAAAATCAAATTCAACATTTATAACTACATAATTATGTTCTAAACTATTATAAACTACAAAGTCACAACTACTTAAGTTTAATAGAACTAAACCTAGTTGGACTTAATGACCCATCAGCATTTTTTGAAATAAACTTCACTTTTTCAATAACATCTTGTAACCCGACTACCAACTACCAACTACCAACTACCAAGGTATGGGCATTTTATTTCAACTAGTTTAGTTGGTTCATTAAAATTATTGACAATTATACCATCAGGTGAATAACCTAACCAGGGGTTGTCGTAACTAGTAACGAAACCACAAGGAATCATTTTTTGCTTACTATCCCTTGCAAATAACTCTATCGCTACACTCTCATATTTTATTCCATGTTTTACAAACTTATTAGAAAAAGTATTAGGCCAAAAATATTTGCTGGCTTTAAGAGCCCACTGTGAATCAGTCTTTTTTGAAGCTGTGTAGTAAGTAAATAATGAATAACACCTACTACCAGTAATTTTAAATTGTCGTATTTGATGCCAATAAGACTTATCTATTAAAGATTTTGATCTAATATTAATAGGGCTATCTTTAAGTTTAATTTTACTATCATAAATGGTTTGACAGCAGTCACCAAGATTCAGAACACCGTACATATTTAGTGATAGTAAAATTGGATGACTATCGAAAACAAAATATGGCTCTACTAATATTGTAACATTTTTATTTGAAGATAATCCTTCAGGATTACGTCCTACACTGTGCAGAGCTATTGCAAAATGTGGTGCAGCAGATATAAGAGCAGATCTGAAATTACAAAAATAAATGTTTATTAAATAATAAATTCTGAAAATATTAATCAACATAGTGTTACCTTAGTTCTGATGAAGTAAATGCCAATGAAACTTTTTCAGTAGACTTCACACAACAAAAATGTTCTATAGAGACTGGTATGAACTGTTTTAGTATTAACTGTATTAACTGTTCTAGAGATGGCTCTTTTAACTTTGACCACTGACATTGTACGTCAGTAGAGCATAGAGTATCAATATCATTTAAATTATTTCTATTAGTAAAATAATTACAGTTAATAATGCAAATAATTTATTAATATTATAGCAAAATTAAAATTAAAAATTAAGTAATATAGCAAGTTAGCTCTGCAGCATAAAGCAACTCATATATAACCCATATATAAAATAAATTATTTGTATGAATAACTAAATATAAATACTATTATGAAGTGGATTAATCTATAACCCTACTAAACAATTGTAAGTATATTTAATTATTATACTATGAAGTACATATCATGATACCTATTTAAGAATAGCAATACAGCAAAAACATGTTTGCATCTTTCAGAAGCACCAGCAGCACAAGAACAGACAAATGATTCAATTTTAATTGCTGTTGAATCTACATTCAATGTCCCAGAAATTTCATGAGGTTTATCTCGAATATGAGAACTTTGTATAACTAAAGCTCTTATCAATAAACCATTCTTCTATAGTTAATAAATAAATCATAAGCAAGAGTGATTAAGCAAATTTTGCATATTAAAACAATTTTGAATCATTTACATTTTAGTTAACCTAACCTAACCTAACCTAACCTAACTAATAAAAATTAAATTTACCTGCTGAACTTTACCACATAAAATAATTTGTTTGGCTCTCAAAACTTCTTCACCTTCAACAGCATTTCTTGAACTTGTGGTACATTGTACAAAATCAAATATACTTTTTAAAGATAAATACATTGTTAATTGTTATAATTCAAAATTTAACGAGAAATAAATAATAATTAACGAAATTACAACGACTATAAAATACAAAAATTGCAGTATTGTTAAATCAGAAATCAAAATAAGAGTCCCACATCGGTTTAGGGAGGAAACCGACACCCATAGTGATAACAGCGCTACCAGTGTTATTTTATTTTCCCAATACTACACTATAATATAGAAATCTGTGTTCTGTGTTAAACGGGATATTAGGAACTAATGTTCATTTTTTACTAAGTCCTACACCAGTTAGTTCTTTTATAACATCAACAATTAATGTTTTCAACGTTTTAGATTTTACCTCAGAATGAGTTTGGAAATAAGCAATAGGAAATTTCCAAGATGAATATAACCATAAAAACAAGTGCTGTATTGGCAGTTTTATTTCCTCTTCCAATTTTACCATTATCCTCAAAACCTTTCGTATTGAATAGAATATTCCAAAACCTCTTTGATGGAAATGTCATCAATTAAAACACTACATGCCTTTTCTTTGTAGCTTTTAGCGTCAAATTTATTTTTTTATGTTCTAAAAATGATCTGTTAAAGCCTGGTAAAAATATTGGGTCTCCAATCCAATTACGGATTGTGGAAGGAGCTGGTCAATTTACTTTTTGAAGTCTTGAAAATGTATATGCGGCTGGCGATTTATAAAATAAAGAAAGAGCAAAGTTCTTTTAATCCTCTGTCCATGGGCGTTTATTACTTTTCAGTTACATTGTGACTATTGCTTTTGAGTTTTTGGAAGGAAATTTATGTGAGTTTAGTATATTATGTAATGTGTTTCTTATTTTAATGTAACTAATTTTTTTTCATTTTTGAAATAATAGTAACCTTACTATAACCTAACCTAACTTTCTAGTGCTATTTATACATTTTTTTTTATTGGTGAATCTAAATCATCTTGAAGGTTACGTTTTCTAATAGAAGTAGGGCTTGGAATTTCAATTAAATTGTTGATTTTAATCTTTGTGTTTTTGTAAAAATATTTATTGGTGGACTTGAAAATAGTATTTCACCTTCTGAATTATTCTTTATATTGACATACGTTTTAGTTGGGGTCAAGCATTTAGCTGGAGTCAACATGAAATCAGAAGGTATTATTACTATTTCCTAAAAAAAAATAATTAATGTGAGGAAATTTTTTTGTTTGTATTTAAAATTTTATTTGTTTTCAAACAGAATATTATATTATTTTATGTAAACACTACCTATATTATATACTGTAGTTTATTGTTTAATTTATTTTACCCAAAACCTTTTAAATATAATATATATTTACAAATTGACCCACTTGAACGCTTATCCGAGTTGAAATTAAATGGTTCAAAAAGTGGTTTTCATTTTTTTTTTTTTTTTTTTTCAGAATTCATAAATGAATCTGGTATAAAATGCACCTGACCAAAACGATTGTACAATTGGGAATGGCAAGTGACAATAATTGTGTGTTTCCTTTAATTTTATTTTAAGTGTATATTAAAATGTAAAAATTAAAAAAATTATTATTTTGGAGCTTACCGCAATTCATTAATTCATGTTTCTTGTTGTGCATCGTTCTATGGGAAACGAAACATATGCAGTTGGGGAAACTTTACAGTGGTTTTTAAGCATCACATATTGACATTTTGTACCAGGCATGTTTTTTAAATAATGAATATAAAAATTTAAAAATTTAAATAAAAATTGATAAATTTAGGTACAATAGGAAATTCTAAAATTCAACGGCAAACAAAATATAATTCGCTTGTTTGCTACAACAACGACATAACATGAAAAACATGATTTTACACAAAACGCATTTGAAAAATGTGTTTGCAATGATATGATGATAAAATCATATTGAATGTTTATATTGATTTAGAAACTTATTTTAATTGAAGTAGAGTGTTATAACACACTATATTCATGCTTTATTCTCACCTACAACATTTTGGATTCTGAGCGGAGCGATGAATGTATTGGTTTTACAATGATGTATGTTTTTTTAGATTCTGAGCGGAGCGATGAATGTATTGGATTTACAATGATGTATGTTTTTATTTATATTTTTATATTTTTGTGTCTGTCATCACGTTTTAGGACAGTAAAAGTGCTTGGATTTTCTTCATCAGTAGCTTTTCTGGTAGGAAAGTGAATCTAGTTGGTACTTTGGGGGGTCAAAAGTATAAATTTCCCAGTAGTTTTCACAAGCGCCGGGAAAAACAACATAAAAATTAAGGAAAAACGGGAATTTTTACGCAAAATTGGTTTTCCAAAAAATCGATTTTGGTTATTGGTGTAACTCTAAAACAAATGAACGTATATACATGAAATTTTCACTGGTTGTTTATATTTGCATTTTCTATACACGATAACATTTTCAAAATATTTTGATTTATTTTGAACTGTTTAGGGACATTTTCATTTTCCATTTTTTTTTGGTTTTTTTTCTAAAAATATCAATAAAATTTTATTTATTGGTTGCGAAAGCTTGAAAATTTAATAGAAGGCTCCTAATATGTTGTTTCAAAGGCAGATGAAAAATATTAAAAATCCTTAGTCACAATTTTTTTTATAAGCATTTTAAGTTCAAAAATTGACAAAATATGGAAAAATCACGAAAATTAGCAAATTATTTTGAGTTAAGAATTCGTAAAAATTTTTCTTTTTAAATCTAAGATTTGAAAATGAAACACAAGATTCCTTATAAGATTATCTACCTTTATCAATAAAAAAATCTCTACCGGACAGTCAAATTAAATTTTTATGAGCGTTTGAAATTCAAATTTTTACAACATTGGATTTTCACTCGATTACTCATGTAGCGATTTCCTTATTTTGTTGCAATTCAAAAACGAACAACTGTAGATACATGAAAATTGCACTGAATTTTTATATTAGCATTTTCTATACACCATACAATTTTGAACTCTTTTTGAGCTGTTTATGGACATTTACAGCTTTCAATTTTTTTTAGTTTTTTTTTCTATAAATATCAATAAAGTTTTATCTGTTGGGCCAAAAAGTGTAAAAATTTAATACAAGGCTCCTGATATATTGTTACAATACCAGTTGAAAAATATTAAAAATACATAGGCACAGTTTTTTTTTATAAGCATTTAAAGTTGGAATTTTGACAAAATTTATCAAAATCTCGAAAATTATCAATCGTTGGAATTAAAAAATTATAAAATGTTCAGTTTTTATAACTAAGAGTTGAAAATTTAAAACAAAGGTTCTCTTAAATAATTCATACTGTAACCAAAAAATCTAAAAAATATATAAACACACTTATTTTTTACAGACATTTTAATTTCAAATTTAGACAAAATTTCATATTTAAACCAAGAATTACGATTTTAGTTATTTTGTTGTGATTGAATAATATTATTCGTGGGTACTTGAAACTTCTAAAGTGTACTATTATATATCTATGATAGTATCACGGTTTTTGTTGATGTATAACGCGTTATAAGTATCTAATGGATATTGTGATATGATTAATTTGGAATTTATTATAGGCACCTATTATAGGTCAATTTTTGTTTAATACCATAGATATGTATATAATATGCCTTATACATAGACTGACATAACATCACCGCTCAGAATCGTTTTTCTTATACAATGATATTATATCATTGAATTCAAATTTAATACCACCCATTATACAGTGACCCACTTGTAACCTACCGTACAGCAGAGCGACACCCACTTGCCCACCTTTTTTTATATTTTATATATATTTTTGTGTCTGTCATCACGTTTTAGGACAGTAAAAATGCTTGGATTTTCTTCATCAGTAGCTTTTCTGGTAGGAAAGTGAATCTAGTTGGTACTTTGGGGGGTCAAAAGTATAAATTTCCCAGTAGTTTTCACAAGCGCCGGGGAAAACAACATAAAAATTAAGGAAAAACGGGAATTTTTACGCAAAATTGGTTTTCCAAAAAATCGATTTTGGTTATTGGTGTAACTCTAAAACAAATGAACGTATATACATGAAATTTTCACTGGTTGTTTATATTTGCATTTTCTATACACGATAACATTTTCAAAATATTTTGATTTATTTTGAACTGTTTAGGGACATTTTCATTTTCCATTTTTTTTTGGTTTTTTTTCTAAAAATATCAATAAAATTTTATTTATTGGTTGCGAAAGCTTGAAAATTTAATAGAAGGCTCCTAATATGTTGTTTCAAAGGCAGATGAAAAATATTAAAAATCCTTAGTCACAATTTTTTTTATAAGCATTTTAAGTTCAAAAATTGACAAAATATGGAAAAATCACGAAAATTAGCAAATTATTTTGAGTTAAGAATTCGTAAAAATTTTTCTTTTTAAATCTAAGATTTGAAAATGAAACACAAGATTCCTTATAAGATTATCTACCTTTATCAATAAAAAAATCTCTACCGGACAGTCAAATTAAATTTTTATGAGCGTTTGAAATTCAAATTTTTACAACATTGGATTTTCACTCGATTACTCATGTAGCGATTTCCTTATTTTGTTGCAATTCAAAAACGAACAACTGTAGATACATGAAAATTGCACTGAATGTTTATATTAGCATTTTCTATACACCATACAATTTTGAACTCTTTTTGAGCTGTTTATGGACATTTACAGCTTTCAATTTTTTTTAGTTTTTTTTTTCTATAAATATCTATAAAGGTGTATCTGTTGGGCCAAAAAGTGTAAAAATTTAATACAAGGCTCCTGATATATTGTTACAATACCAGTTGAAAAATATTAAAAATACATAGGCACAGTTTTTTTTATAAGCATTTAAAGTTGGAATTTTGACAAAATTTATCAAAATCTCGAAAATTATCAATCGTTGGAATTAAAAAATTATAAAATGTTCAGTTTTTATAACTAAGAGTTGAAAATTTAAAACAAAGGTTCTCTTCAATAATTCATACTGTAACCAAAAAATCTAAAAAATATATAAACACACTTATTTTTTACAGACATTTTAATTTCAAATTTAGA